TGGCGAGTGTGGGGGTGCCGGGCGGGCTGGAGGGGTCCAAGGATTCCCCGGGAGCGAGGGGCGACGGTGGCAGCATGAACGGCCCCGCTCGAGGTGCTCCGGGAGCCCATCGCAGAAACGCAATAAAGCCGCAAAAAGCGTCTGCCCTCGAGTGCCTTTATCGTAATAAATAATAAAGTGGTGTGTGAGGGTAGAAGCTGGGGAGATCCCACCCTAGCGAGGCTCTTCGGAGCCCTTCTGCAGACCTAGGGGGTGTCTGCCCAAGGTCTGTTTGTACACGGTATCGGGTTTGATACCGTCAAGCTCTCGCCCGTCAGCCAGAATCCCCTAAGCTACCGAACGGAGGATGCTGAGGGAGAGGAGTGGGTGATGGTGTGAACGCCCCAAGAGCTTTCTAGTGTCCTCCTCCAATCATCCTGCTAAAGTTCCCTTGATCTGTGCTGTGAAAGACTTCGGCTGGAAACGCTGAGCAGTGGTGGCAGCAGAACTGAGTCATCAGCGTTTATGGAGAAAAAACAAAATAAAAAAAGATATGTAGGGATTAAAATAGAAAGGACCCACCAGGAGATTTGATCAGTCTTGGAAAGGCAAGCGAGAGCAGCGCAGGTTTGTCCGGCGTTATTTTCAGGCTGCAAGGCTGCATTTCTCGCCCCTTTTTTCATATCCTTGTTAGTTCTTGGCATTTCTGCAGAACCAGCTGAGGTGCTGGCCATGGCCCGGGCAGGTTTGGCCCTGGAGGGGGACATGGGGACACGTGCTCGTGGCTTTGCCCAGTGGCCCGGTCGGGAAGGATGCGGGTTTCCACGCGTGCACGTCCCGCTGGCATCGCTTGCCATGCGGAGCGGGGCCGGCAGCTCCAACGGCGCCCACACGTTTTGAGGCTCGTTAGCTCCGCGTTTCCTCACCTCTCCCGTCCATCGCCCCCGGAGGACGCGCCGCAGCAGGATCCTTCTCCAGGACGAAGGTGCCTCTTTGCTCCTGGGCCTCTCCAGATGCCCTGTGGGCTGAGGCAGCGGTGCTGTGGGTGTCACCGTGGCCCTTGCGCAGGAGATGGGGCAGGCGCAGCCCCCGGGGACGTGGGGAACATCTCCGTAGCGGGTAACACGCAGAAGGGGTTTATTGCTGATCGGCCATAGCACTATTTTGGCCATTTTGGGGGAATCCTCTCCGTGCCGCGTGAGGTGGGATCCTTGTGTATGCGCAGGGGGTATCCCCACTGCGTGGGGGCTCAGCGGGCCCGAGCAGAGGGCAGTGGGAACATGACGGGTTATTTCTGTGCCGTGGCCACTACTATAGAGTCAGCGCCAAAGGGGCTGCCTCCTTCCTTCCATTTTATTTTATTTTTTGCCACCACCTCCTTTAGCACCAAAGATGGGTGACTACGTGAAGACCCAGCGTGCCATAAAGCGCTGCTCCTGCGTGCTGCTCCACGCTATTTGATGCTAAAATGTCCGTCTGCCTCTTCTCATGTTGGCCACCGCTTTGTGCTGCTTGTCCTTCCTGAAGAAGAAAGGCAGTAACACAAATGTGTCCTCTTTGGCTGTCCTGCTAGCCCAAATTTGGAACAGACAGCCCCACTGGGCCAGTCTGATTGAGATCTCCTGTCGTTGATGACTGTGCTGGTTGCCACGATTCATATCTGTAACAATTTATATTTTTTTCTTGTAGGTGTCAGTGCAGTTCCAGCAGATAAAGACCACATTGAAGAAATGGTGAGTAGCTCTACGTCAAAGCAGAGTTCAGCAAATAAGTCGCACATTCTCCACTATTCTGGCTCCAGATTTGTTTTTAAACCCATGGGAAAATGTGATTTTTTCCCCTGAGGGTAAAATTTAAGAGACCATCTCTGACATGGAACTTGGTGTTCCTTTAGTGAGCAGAAGACAGCTACGTGTCCAGCTTCTTGAGCTAGTTCATTACTCCATAAATTGCATCTCTTGCAGCTGCCTGCAAAATGGTCTGGACTACACTCGACAGTGCATGTAGGCAGATTATAAAAGTGAGATGGCAAATTGGAAGGAAGGTGAAATCATGGGAAATACCCCTGGTGAGTAACTATGTGGAGAACTAAGGCAACCCTCAGATCTTCCTTTGGAAGGAGGAACTTGGCCTGAGGAAATAAACGCTGCTGGCTGCTCCCGGTCGGACATCAGGGCCTCTCCTCACAGCCCCTCTCACATCTGAGATTCACATTGCATCAGTTCGTGCAGAAAAGTTGCCTTAGTGGGAAGCTACAGCCAGGGGTGGCCGTGGTGCCTGTCTGCATCCATTTATTGCTTCTCCTTGGGGGAGACTGTCCAGCTGAGTGTTAAGTACCAGGAGAGGCAGGGCTTGGAGCACAGACAGGGCACTTGGAGTCAAAGCTTTAAATCCTTTGTGAAGCATTTGTGTCTCGAGGGCTACAAAGGTTTTCCTGTTTATTGGCAATCCGAGTATTAACTCTGGGAAGGCCTTGTTGGGGCAGGTCCTGAAGGGTGATGCCCACCTATGAAACTCCTGTTGATTATTTTTTGAATAATGAATGCTTAATTGTCTTTGTGCTGAATAGGACGTTTAATATTAAAAAAAAGGAAGCCTTTTACCATGCAAACAAAAGAGGGGGAAGAAGAAAAAAGAGGTAGCGATTCTCCTCATCTTACTGATGTGCAAGTGAGGAGCAGAGTGACGGATCTGCCTAAAAATGCAGAGCTAGGGATTACTCAAAACTAGTAGGTGTTATCCTAAAATATAACCCTAAACTGGTCTCCATTACAAATGTCTTTGCATCAGTGGCAAAAGAAGGATTTCTGTTTGTCACTATGGCATTTTTTGTTTTTTTTTCTTGTTTCTTCTAGGTAACACAGTGTATAGTAGAAGTTCTCTCCAATGCTTTGTCGAAGTCAAATGCACCACCAATTAATCCTGAGTGCAAAGAAATCCTCAGGAAGAGTAAGTACTATATTATTTGAACTTGGGAAAGGTCTTTGGTAGATACCACTGTTACTTTTATAAACAAATATTCTTATTTTGTGGGATAGAAGCAGTCATCATTTTAATTTCATATATAAGAAAAGTATTTTGGAAGGTAAGTATTTTATGTTGATATTAATGATGACAAAGCATGTCTGACAAGACATTGTCTCGTCTTTTACAAGCTTATCCTCTCGATTTAAGAGTCAAAGAACTTCAAACTTCTTCACGTTGTTGCTAAGTGCAAACAACATGAATAGTATTTTATTTTCCCTCTTCCTAATCCTAGAACTCTGATCTTGCAGTGGGTCATTAAATGATTCATTTTTATTTATATTCACACAAAATAAGAACTTCAGTATTAGACCTTGTTGTTGGTAACTTTGGGAAATAAATTTGCAAATGGATTCTGCCATGTGTGAATGGTTATTTCAGCCCATGTGAATCTGGTCAGATTCACATCTAATTTCAGTGTGAGAATTCTTGCTGCCATCTGGTTTTTGTCTTGCCCAAAGAGAAAATGGCCTTTTCTGGTAACTTTTTGCTAGCACTTGCGTGGCTCTCTATACTTAAACCATCTTCAGGGTCTGAGGAAAGTGGATAATTTCTTCAAATAGCCCAGGAGATAACAAATGTGTCTGGGTTTGGAGCAGATGCTGAGTCCATCCCAGAGCACTGGAAGTGGCTTTGAGTAACTTCTTCCTCTTGTATCAGCCAGCTCCTGTGCCTGGTGGCAACTGAACCAGGGAGGAAGCCTCTCAGTTAGGCTGTAACTCTTAAAATGTGATTAAAAGCCTAGTTACACCACCCCTCAGGCACTTCAAGAAACCTGAAATAAACAGTTGGCTTTCTCCTGTGAAAAACAGGAGCTATTAGAAATGCATACAAAAGCCAAAGAGGAAATATTTCTGGAAATTTCACTGAAACTTTTAAAATACCAACTGAAAATTAACCCTTTTCCAGACAAACATTCAAAATGGAAGGCAGTGGCAAGCTTTAAAAGTAGAATTAAAAAATTAGTTCTTCCATATCTTTGTTATTTTGGAAAGCCAGTTTGTGTCAGCGTGGAGTTAGATTGCTTCATTAAGCTACTTTTGTTATTGTAGGTGGCAAAAGTGACAGAGCTAAAAACGAGGACAAACAGCTTGAAATGAGGCATTTGAAAGACTCAGCAGAGAATGAAGAACATGGCACTGGGAGTGTGGAGGAAGAGCGAAGTCAGGCTGAAATGGAATCGAAAATGCGTGTGAAAGGAAGTGATGAAAAGAAACTTGGCTGGGAGGAAGATCACAGTGAGGAAGAGGAGGATGGCCATGACATCTCTGTTCATGAGGCTCGTGAAGAGCAGCTCCAAACGGCAGAAGTGGAGCACCATGAGGAGACCGGAGAAGACCAGAACAGTTACTACAGGGAAGAGGAGAGCAAAGAGAGCAGGCACCGCGATGAAGAGGCAGAGCGGGCCGCTCCCAGCAAGCAGTCCGCAAGCGCAGAGCAATTCCTTGGCGGGAATGATCAACACTCCATGGGCTGGGCACGCGCAGAGGAGAGAACGCAGCGTCCTGGCAAGAGGGTTCATGAGGGTGAGGAGGGGGAGGCAGCAGGAAGTGAAAAATCCCACCATGAGCCTAAGGAACGTGATTCCTCCCATCAGCACGAGCAGGAAGAATCTGCTGAGAGTGAGGAAGCAGCGGAGGAAAAGCAAGGCTACGCTGCAGAGCGGTACTACAGGAAGCACAGGATGGGCGACTCCGAGGAGATGAGGGCCCGCAGCGGTGAGAGAGGGAAACTGGCTGAGGAATCGAACGCGGAGCACGGCCGTCCCTGGGACAGGAGGAACCACCACCAGCAACAGCACCGTGAAGAGGCCGAGCGGCATCGTGAGGAGAAGGGAGGCCATCGGGGGAGACACGGGTCTGAGGAGGTGGAGGAGAAGAGCTACACGGATCAGGGGGGTGAGGAGCACGGGGAGAGGCGGCAGCAGAGTGAGGAGAGCAGCGAGGAGGAAAGCAAGAGGCAGCGGCAAAGTGAGGAAAGCCATGAAAAATGGCAAGAGGAGAGGAGACACCATGATGCCTCCCGTGAGACAGGGAGGCACCGTCCCGAGGGAAGGACGTACGGAGGTGAGGAAGACCTGGGCAGGGATAACAGCGCAGGCAGCAAGGAGGAGAAGCAGCAGCGTGGGGCAGAAAGACGTCGCTTGCAGGACAGTGAAGAGGTGAAGCTGAGCGTTGCAGAGCGCCGTGGGCAGGTCAGGAGACACTACAGCACCGAGGACAGGGCCAGCGCAGAGCGGCAGCGCTACCCTGTCAACAGGGAGGACGCAGAAAAGCAGCAGCAGAGCAGCGATCAGACAGAGAATGAAGAGAACACGGAGGAAGGAAGGTACACAGAGAGGGAGCAGTACAAAAGCCCTTTCCCCGCAGAGAGCGGGAGGAGCAGCGCGGTGCTGCACGGCCCCCTGCACTCGCTGCTGCGCTGGAAAAGCCACCGCGCCGAGAGAAGGGACAGCGTGGGAGAGCAGCTCCTGGGGAGCAAGGAGGAGGCCAGGCCCGCCCTGGGCGACAAGAATCTCCTCCCCGAATATGACTATGACTGGTGGGAGAAGAAGCAAATTCTGAACGCTCTGAAGCACGGACGCACCGAGAAGAGGAATCTTGGTAAAATCAACAGGTTTGACGTGAAAAGGCAGTACAACAGGATGGATCAGCTCGCACAACTCCTGAATTACAGGAAGAAGTCAGCTGAATTTCCAGAGTTGTATGATTCTGGAGAAGACCTAAAGAAACGTCACGTAATCAGAAATGACAGGGGAAATCTGAGTGAGAGGCCTCTGACCGAGGAAGAGGTATGTGCTGGTGTGTCTTTGAAAAACTAAAGAAAACTGGTGTTGATTACATGATGTTCATGCCCATTTCTAAGGTCCATTTCCAAGAATCCCGATTTAAAAACAAAATCTTAGTTTAAGTCACCTTATGAGCGAAACCTTCAGTGATTTAAAAATTCTCCTTTCCCTGAATGAACCCAGGGGAGCTATTTCAGGGACCAGTTTGAAAAGCAAAGGCTATGTGTGCCTTGCTGTCTGCTGCAAGGCAGGAAGAGAAGGGAGATTTTCTTCCTCTTTGAGCCTTTGAGCCCCCTCAAGGGTCTAGTGGACTATTAGAACAAAAATACTCATTGCAGGAGAATACAAGTACCAACTGCTTGTTTCAATCATACAGCTGGAAAAGAAGTTGCAGGTTTAGAAGTAATATTGAGCAGTCCATTGAGTTGGCATCCTGCTCTTTTCTTTTCCCAGGAAAAAGAACTGGAAAATCTGGCTGCTATGGATTTGGAACTGCAGAAGATAGCTGAGAAGTTGAACGACAACAGGAGAGGATGATCTGTTCCGGCAGCTCCAAGCTAGGTGTAGCAGTACTCGCAATATCTGTATCATGTGGTAAATTCACTGCCACTGGATTGTTGTTTGCCCTAAAGACAGGAAATACTACTGTCCACTATAGTGTAGTGATTTATACAGCTGAAAATGTCTTTAATTTGCTATTATGCTATTGAGATCTGAATAGCATGAATTTTAGTATTATAACTTCCATGCAAGGCAGATATTTTTAATATGCTTGTGAAAACAATTGTGTTTGTGGTCTTCTAAAATATATTTGTCTGAGTTTGGGGGAAAAAAATAAAATAAAAACATTTATCTTGGATCAAATGTTCTCCTTCTTTATTGGATTACAGGTATTTTGAAATAATCCATATGAGATCAATAGATTACGTAAGAAATGTTGAAATGTGGTTCACAATGTTGCTTTTACAAGGTTAACAAGAAGCTGTCTATGCTTTTTGTTTGCCAGTAGGCACAAGAGCGTAAGAGGTAAGAATCCAGATATTTTGCTTTAGTAGCCTAGAAATAAGTAAGTGAATTACTTAGAATAAGTACTTAGAATAAGTAAGTACTTTGTTCTGGAAGAGCAAAGAGATTGCATCACCAGATGGAGGTTGGTTTATTTGGAAAATATGCAATGCTTCAGAATTAATGCATTATGCAGTCAAGTGGTTCTGCTGCTTGGTGCCACTCAAATTGGTGCCATTAAATTAATCAGCTGTGTGTGAACAGCTGCTTTGCTAACACTTCTTTCAGCTTATTTGATGAAGCAGGTAGTGATGGCAGGTGAGAGCCTGGGTGCTGTGTCACCTGGCAAGGGTGACCTGGGCTGGGCCCTGTGCAGAAGGGGGCTGTGGGGGCAGCACCTGGGGGACCTTATGGCACTGCACAGCAGAAAGGAATTGCCCTGTAATTATTTTCAATTACTCCAAATACCTAGGGCTCAATTTAAGTTAACTTATCCAGTTTTAATCTGCTGTGACAATGTCTTCAGTTCCTCTATAAACACCCCCAGGAGAGCAATGGTCTATATGGAATTGAACTGAGTCACAGTAGCATTAAATATGCAGCATCTGTAGTCCCAGCGTAACCCATTTAATCCACCTGGTCATTAAAACACAAATCCACTATTTGAGTAACTGCAGAGCAAGAAAATACTTAGTGAGATGCTGGTTCTTGAAGAGTCAGACCCCAGGGCATGTGGCTGCATTCAAGGATTTCATCTTAAGATGGATGAAGACCCAAATCTTGGCTCTGAGAAGCTGACAGATGTTGACCAGTAGGACCAGGATTGCACCAGACTTTTCCAGCACAAGTAAGGAAGGAAAGAATGTGGTCTGGCTAGAAAATACCTTGTTTTCTACCTGCAAAGTCCAAAGTGTATAATACTGTAACTGGTATGAGTGAGCGTTAACTATTGCAGCATGATGGGATTTTTAAAAAATTATTTTATTTCTTCAGCTGGTATATTGAAGAAAGCATGTCTGAGAGAACCATCTAGAAACCAGCAGTTTTAGTTGTAGCACAGAAACTAAACCCCCCCCTTTTCTAAAAGAGCTTTAGAATGTAATTGTAGCAATCAATATTAAAGAAGCACAGCTTTGGCAGATACTATTGACTCAGGAGAGTGTATTTCGCTTAATATGCTTTGAAGGGATGTATTAAAAACCCCTCGCCAGCTGCATCATTGACTTACAGCACCTATTGAGCTGCAATTTTTACCTCACAAGCTCTGAAGCAACTGTGCCATTATTTTTTAGAGGGGAAAAAAAAAAAGAATTTCTTTGCAGTCAGTACTGGTACAGTTGAAGTCTGGGCTGAAATTTTGGGATAATTATCAAAATAGAACCATATTCTGCTAAGTTAATGAGGTGCCAAGAGCTTTGTTACAGTTTTTAATCCATTCCCTTCTCTGTTCTGCTTTTGTTCTCTGCTCTCCTCCTCCCCTCAATTTATTACTTGTAGAAATGTTAAATTTCCTAGAGTTTCAGACAATCCTACATTGCATGTTCTTTCCTTCTCAGTTAGAGTTATCTATAAAATGTTTATCTGTAAAACTATAGTCAGGTTGATATCTTTTATCAATTGCCTGCTACTTGGTTTCTTATCATTTTTCTTTTAGAAGCGTTATGCCACGTTTTAAAAATAAGGGACAAGATTCAATACTGGAAAATTATGAGTGTTAATTTCACTTAAGACAGCCACTTTGGTTTAAAATAACTTTAAGCGTTCCAATACCGGCTCTTTTCTGAGGCTGCATTTCTTATTATACAAACAAAACATGCAGTGGATTTTTTTTGTAACCAACCATGCCAAGAAGTAGGATGGCAAGCATAGGGTTGTTGCTTACCCTAATTCTGTGCAAGTTTTAATACCTTTATGGTGCTGTAAATATGATATCCAATGCCTACCAGCTCAGTGATGTGGCAGAGAAGGACGTGTGTTTGCTTTGCAGGTTAAGTCGTACTGAAAAAGGAGTTACCTTCTGCCTCGGGTTGTGCTCCTGCCTCACAGAGGTTTCTGTATTTCCTTGCCTTTCACTGCCTTTCTGCATCACTCTACCTAGGTTGTCTCAGAGCTCCTCCACATACTGGGTTTTGGCTGCTCTGGAAGTCCTGGGTTCAATAGGCACATGCAGAAATAAAGAAGTTGGGAAATACTGCAGTTAAAATACAAAAAAAGCCACACATGAGTTTATATTCCTTAAGTGTAATGTGTGACAAAACATATTTGTTTACTGATTGTGGCAAACCTATTTTATGCACATGACTAGCAAAAAAACAGAAGAGGTTGTTAAAACTATAACCTCTCCACATCTGTTTTTCACATAATAATAGAAGAAAAGCTCTTAATGAAAATAGAAAAACAATTAAAAGGTTACAAAAAATAGAAAAGAGGATTAAAAGTATACAAAAACTGCTTGTACCTGTTTGAGAAGTCTATGTAACTGCTTTTTTACACAAAGTGTAACCCCTGTTTTATGTTGTGTCCTACACGAGCAGCATTCTTGCCACTCCACCCCATTTTACAGTTTTGCAAAACCTCATTACTTGATCCCAGGGGAGGTGTAAAGCTCCCACTACCTGCGTTCCCACGAGGACCCCAGCCGAGGGTATTTTCCTAAGGCTCTTGCTGGGCTGTTTTACTTCCCCCAAAAAGGAATAACTAAGGAGAGAAAAAAAATAGGCAAAATATCCTGCAGTTGAAGTGAAATGACAAGTGCAAAGTTTTTTTTTTTTTTTTTTAAATAAAGTTTCACTTCATGAAAGATAAATCAGTAAAAATAAATATATATACACAGAGCAATTTTTCTTTTCTAATTTATCTTAAAAGCAAATTTCAGGAAAAAGACAATACCATAGAGACACTGTTTAAATATTTAGGATTTTAATTTACAAACATACTTTCTGTTTATATTTCAGGAAATATGGGACCAGGCTATAAAGTTCTGGTTTTAATATTATTCTTTTTCTTTCCTGTTGGAAAGAGAAATGCAGTATTTTTGCTGTTTATTCTACTTGATTAAGGTAATTACTGAACATAGCAGGATTCTGTGCCAGAGCATGGAGCAGATCACTATACAGAGTATTTCACCTTGATGCTGGTCTGACAAGAAGCTAAGTGAGATGTTGATTCAGACTCAACCTTTTTAAGAGCTACTACTTCATCTCTGCTTCTGGCAACAAATAAAATGACTGGTTTCACTGATGCTTCATCTCCTCCCCAGGTTACCTTCTTAGCATGATCATCAGGTCTTTTGAAGCCCGTGTTTTCAGTGTGGTGTTTGACAGAGATTTACTGACAGGGGTTTTTCTCCTCCTGATCATGTAGTTGGTAAAGGGAGGAAGACAATCCTCTCTACAGCACAAATCCTCACCTTCTGCTGACAGGTGCATGTCAGGTATTATTTCTATGCTGTCAAAAGCACAGAAAGTGCATTAGTTACTCTACTTCTGACTCCTGAGATTTGGAAAGCAAATCAGTTCTTCAAATGTTAACAGTGAAGGTCTTGAACTTTCCGTTTTTTAGATGATGGCTCTTCAGTTTTCAGTTCTTCTAAATTGCCCGAATCAGATTTGCTCTTATCGGAGACAACGGTAATACCGGAGAGAAGGTACCCTCCACCTCCGCTCATGGTCAGTTTGGGATGACTTCGATCTGGTAGGACCTTTTAAGACACACAAAAAACAAGTGGTCTCTAATGAGCCATTCTATTTGTGCACATCAAATTGTTTAATTAGGCAAAGCTTACAATATGAGATGTCTCTTATTTTTTTCCCCAGCTCCTACAACTGACAAGTGTCTGCCAAACAGATGCCTGTGAACACAGGCTACAGCATCAGTGAGGACCTTGTGGCATTTTTCAGCAAAATTATGAGGTCAAGACCTATGGCACCCGAAGTCAGCAGCTAAAAGCCTCATTTGTTGCTCTCTTCAGAACTCGTGCACTTTGTAAAACACCCCCAAGTGATGTAACACGAGTTCCCAGTTACGACACTGCAACCTTCACTCATTAAGGTAAGACACAGCACTGGAGGCCACTTCTAGCTATGCTGGACCTCTCTGTAAATGTTTTCAGATCAGGCAGATTATTCTGCTGCTTCCTATCTGACTGGTACTCCCCATTTGTAAATATCCTCTCCCTAAGTTGGTCAAACTGACTTTTTTTTCACTGTAGAGTTCCCCTCTACCCCATCACATTTTCATTGTTTAGTTCCAAAGACCTGAATGATCTTCTAGTTGCAGAAAATACATGTGAAAACACTGGCTGTGGAATTCATCACCCTTTTTAGGCTAAAAAAATAGATATTAGGACATCCAATTTAGTTTTAAGTTATCACACCAATTGGGAATTAATAAAAAGTGTAATATTCTGCTGCATTTCTCTTCCACTCTATTAGATTGTATCTCATTTAGGATAGCTGCTAAAACAGCACAATTATTAGATTTGCCAGTGTGCTGCCTTTTTACTTCATCAAGTGTTTTAATGAAATGTTTTGACAGAAGAAAATGGAGTTTTTCTATTCAAAGTGTTGCAGTGAAGCATTCAAATTCCTCTGAGTATTTTCATCTTGCTTTCAGATCTTTTTTTTTAAATGCAAATTTATATGTAGTTTCAATCAATGCCCCCCCGCAAATGTTTTCAGTATTGTAGCATTCTAATAATGGCTTAAAAAAAAAGAATGTTATGTATCAAAATCATCTTAAATTTAAAATACAACAACTAGAATAACATACTTTATTTACCTCTTTATACTGGCAATAGACAACAAAAGGCCTTGAAGGAGCAACAAATTCCAGTAAAGAAAGTAATAAAGGAGT